GTAACTTGCCAAGTAATACAGAAATCAATCCCAAAGAGCAAGCTAAAGCTATTACAACTCGAAGTGGAGTGTAATTACCGAAAATTCATGTCAAGAGACGAGGTGTGACTATAGAGACATCCTCCTCTGCTGAAAATGAGACTACTGTGAAGGAATCAACTCCAAACGAAAATTTAGAAAAATCACAGGATAAGGCCAAGGTCACAATCAACCCATACGAGCCTTCGATTCCTTTTCCACAGCGCTTGAAGAAGCAAAAAGTGGAGCAACAATACAAAAAATTCCTAAAAGTCTTCAAAAAGCTCCATATCAACTTCCCACTAGCCGATGCACTGTTTCAGATGCCTAGCTACGCGAAATTTCTCAAGGATATTATATCAAATAAACGCAAGTTGGAGCACCATGAGATAGTTATGCTTACGGAGGAATATAGTGCCAGAATCCAGAATAAGCTCCCACCAAAACTGAAAGATCCAGGGAGTTTTACTGTTCCTTGCACAATCGGTGAAGTATATTTCGATAAAGCATTATGTGACCTCGGTGCAAGTATTAATTTAATGCCTCTGTCTGTTTTTAGGAAACTCGGTTTGGGAGAAGTTAAAGCAACCACTGTGACACTTCAGCTGGCAGACAGATCACTGACACACCCCAGAGGGATAATTGAAGATGTGCTCATCAAGGTCGAAAAGTTCATATTCCCAGTAGATTTTCTTATCTTGGACATGGAAGAAGACAAGGATGTCCCATTGATACTTGGCAGACCATTCCTGGCCACATGAAGAGCATTAATTGACGTTCAAAGGGGGCAGTTGATTTTAAGATTGGGAGAGGATCAGATATCGTTCAATGTATTCAAGGCAATGAAACTGCCAGCAGAATTAGACAGTTGTTACCAAGTTGACATTATTGACAAGGCAGTACAGAAAACATTCCTACTTCATGGCCCATCTGATGCATATGAGGCATACATTGTACAATCCCAATCAGTTGACTCAAGTTTTCTTGAAGTTGAAACATGTGCACAATTTTTGGAGACCAACTCGCCATACACCCGAAAACGGCACTTCGAGGAATTGGGGACAGGAAATATGAAGCCACTGCCTTCTATCCAGCAGCCGCTAGTTTTAGAACTCAAGCAACTACCGCCACATCTCAAATATGCATATTTGGGGGAGTCAGGTACACTTCCAGTAATCATTTCAAACACAGTCAGTGAGGTGGAGGAAGAAAAACTGTACAGGGTACTCAGAGAGAACAAGACGACGATTGGGTGAACAATAGTTGACATTAAAGGAATCAGCCCTTCTCTGTGTATGCATAAAATTCTAATGGAGGAAAACTGCAAGCCAAGTATAGAGGGTCAGAGAAGATTAAATCCGAACATGAAGGAAGTGGTCAGGGCAGAGATACTGAAATTACTGGATGCAGGAATTATCTACCCAATTTCAGATAGTGCATGGATCAGTCCAGTTCAAGTGGTACCGAAAAAAAGGTGAATCACAGTGGTGAAAAATGAGAAGAATGAATTAATTCCCACCAGAACAGTTATGGGATAGAGAGTTTGCATCGACTATCGCAAACTCAATGCAGCTACACGAAAAGATCATTTTCCCCTCCCATTCATTGATCAGATGTTAGAGAGATTGGCTGGACATTCACACTACTGCTTCCTTGCTATAATCAGATACCTGTTGCACTAGAAGATCAGGAGAAGACCACTTTCACCTGCCCCTATGGTACTTTTACCTATCGTAGGATGCCTTTTGGTCTTTACAACGCTCCAGCCACATTTCAGAGATGTATGCTGGCAATATTCTCCGATATGATTGAAAGGTTTATTGAAGTTTTCATGGACGACTTCTCAGTGTTTGGATCTTCATTCGATGAATGTCTAGAGCACCTGAATTTGGTCTTACAGAGATGTAAGGAGACTAACCTGGTTTTAAATTGGGA